AAATGAGCTTTGGATGGATCATTTTTGATAAAGTGTGAGAAAGTTATGCTTGGTCAAAGTTGAGTTGACTTTTCCTACAAAACCCTAATTTAGCAACTTTTGGATTTTGATGAATTGTGAGCAATCCTTGAGGAATCATGATCAACCCTTGATAAAATGATGAATAATACTTCGAAATGAGAATGTTGACCAAAAATCTTGAAGTTTGACTGTATGTGGGCCATAGTTGACTTTTGCCCTAGCACAATCGATTTTTAGGCCTTTGAGCAATTGCCTGAGCAAATTTTCTCTGCAAGGCTTGAAACTTGATATGGATGATATTGAGAACATATTAGGATAATGATGATCATTTGGGATCCTTTGGACTCAAGTATCTTGATGCAAATTGAAACCCTAATTTGGGGTAAACTGCCTTAGGAGAGAGTTTGTCTGGTCAACTCTTGGACTTCCTTGAACAATTTGAGGACCTCACTTGAAATGTATTGAGAAATATGGGAGGGCAAATTTTGGGGTACAACACTCAGGCACCCAAATCCTCGGCCAACCTCAATCCCACGAGCAGGGCCTCATATTCAACCTGGTTGTTCGATGTTTGGAAAGAAAGGGTGAGGGAGTGTTTGACCACGACGCCTTCCTTGTTCTCGAGGAGGATACCTGCACCGGTCCCTATCGAGCTGGAAGTTCCATCCACAAAGATGGGGCACTTATGCTTCTTCCTTGTGAGGGGATTATTAGCGGTCATCTCTGTAACAAAGTCAGCCAACGCTTGGGCTTTGAGGGCCTTCCTGCTCTCGTATTGGATGTCGAACTCCGGGAGCTCTAAGGACCATTTTAGCATTCGACCTGTCATGTCTGGTTGGCATATGAGTTCTTTTATGGGTTGGTCTGTTTGTACGATGATCGTGTGTGCAGGAAGTAATGTCTAAGCCTCCTCACCGCGTTGATGAGGGCCAAGGCCACCTTCTCAATCTGTTGATACTTGACTTCGGGCCCTTGTAGCGCTTTGCTCGTGAAATACACTGGCTTTTTCCTGTCTCGAGTCTCGTGAACGAGGGTCACGCTTACGGCCTCGGCGGAGACGGCCAGGTAAAGGGACATGGTTTCCTCGTTCTCAAGTCGCGACAGTACGGGCGGTTGCAAAAGGCTTTACTTGAAATGGAGGAGGGATTGCTTTCATTCCTCAGTCCACTCGAAGGCTGCCTCTTTGCATAGACGTTTGAAAAATGGAAGAGCGTGTTGCACAGACTTTGCAACGAAATGGGGGTGCGAGGTGAGCATGTCGTTTAGGACTTGTATGGATTTCTTCGATCTAGGCATAAGAAGCTCAGAGAATGCCTAGCAATTGTCGGGGTTGGATTTAATTCCCTGTTCTGTCAGATAAAAACCGAGGAATTTGCCCACCTTAACCCCAAAGGTGCATTTCTCAGGGTTGAATCTCATTCTGCACTGTCTCGCTTGGGCAAAGACCTTTTTAAGGGGGGCGGCGTGATCGATATTTGTTTGAGATTTGACGATCATGCCATCCATGTATACCTCGAGCATATCACGGATCTCGTCGAGGAAGATTCTATTTATCATCCGCTGGTATGTTGGCCCTACATTTTTCAAGCCGAAGGACATTATGTTTTAGTAGTAATTGCCCGAGCTGGTCATGAAAGCAGTGCAATACTTGTCGCACATCGCCATTGGGATTTGGTTATAGCCCGAGTAGGCATCCATAAATTATACAATTTTATAGTCGGACGAATTGTTGACCAGCATGTCAATATTAGGTAAAGGAAAAACGTCTTTGAGATATGCCTGGTTAAGATCAGTATAGTCAACACACATTCTCCATTTTTCATTATTTTTCTTAACAAGTACAACGTTTGAGAGCCAGGTTGAATATTGGGCCTCAGAAATAAAATAAGCCTCTAGAAGGTCTTTTACAGCATTTTCAGCAGCCTTCGCTTTCTCGAGAGACTGCCTACGTCTACGTTGTACTACTGCCATAATGGTTGGATCAATGGCCAATTGGTGACAGGCGACCTCAGGGTCGAGTCCATACATCTCCACGGCGCTCCATGCGAACAAGTCTGCATTCTCCCTCAAGCAAGCTTTGATCTGCTTCCTCTCCAAGTCAGAGAGTTCGGTGCCAATCTTCACGCCTTTGTGAGGGTCTTTACCGAGGGGGACGAACTCGAATTCTCTATCCGGGATTGGTCGGAGGAGTTCTTGTTCGTCGTTGGGAGCTTCATCCTTGTCGAAGCGGGTGTCAAGCGAGATGGATTCGACATTGGGCGGAGCCCTTTGCTCTTCTGTCTTGACAGGCTGTGGTTCAGGTTAAGCAGTAGCAGCTCTCTTGGCAGGTCACGCCCCCGTGTCGACTGTACTCTGTCTCTTAGAAGCCGCGCTGAAACATCTTCGGGAAGCTGAGATATCCCCGTGGATGGTGGCGACGCGTACCCTCCTTGTGTAGAATTTAATTTTTAGATGGACAATGGAGGGTACGACGGTCAATTCGGCCAACATTGGTCTCCCTAGAATGCAGTTGTAGAGAGACGGGCAGTTGATGACCAGAAATCACACCTTGATCTGCGGGGTGTGGTTTCTTCTCCGAAGGTGACGAAAAGCTCAACATACCCCATGATTTTGAGGTCGAGCCATTGAAGCCTTGTAGGTCGGATCCCATGTACGGTGAAAGGTGGGTGTCGTCGAGCTGTAAGGTTCAGAACAAATGGTTGTACATAACATCGACAGAGCTCCCCTCGTCGACCAAGATGCGGTGAACGTCGAAATTATCCATTCTTACCCTCACCAGCAGAGGGGTGCTCGAGTTAGGGGCCCCTCCAGGAAACTCCTCGAGGTAGAAAGTGATTGGTTCTGATCTTCCCTTGACCTTCTCGAATGTCACCGCTTGAGGCGGGGCTGCATCGACCAACTCATCAAGATTTCTTTTCGTGGAGTTTATGGAGATGTCGTTGAACCCCTCGCCGGTTATAACCATGGCGAAGGGGAATTTCTCCCATATGCTATGTGTGGATAGAGGTTCTTCCTCATATCTGTCGGGGACATAAAAGTCCTCTAGCCTTATTACAGAGAAAGCTATATGGATGGGGGCCGCCTCATTTGATGGTCGGGTGTCCTCCTCAACCTCTTTTGTCTCGTGGGCATCTCGGTGAGTGACGTAAATGCGTCGGTATGCCCGAGTCTGGCACCGTTGATGAGGGTTTCGATGGCGTCTTTGAAGTGGACACAGTCTTCAGTCAGGTGCCCGTGACTTCGATGATACTGACAGTATTTGCTCATGTCAGCTCCGGGCTTCGCAGGAGAAGATCGAGGACATTTGACGCTGTCGTCCTTGAAGTGCACTATGTCTGGATGTGCTCACAGGAAGCGTTCAGCAGAGTGTATTCGGTGAATCTCCCTGCAGGTCCCCTGTGCTCGCGGGGATCACCCGGTTTATCATCCCTTCTCTTTTCGCTCGTTCATTGAGGAGGGCCTGCGTCTTGGTGTCGCAGGGTATTGGTTGATCCGCGATTCCTTGGGTCGCGGGTTTTGTTGGCCGCTTTCCTCTCCTCGTAGTACATATAGTCCCTAGCTTTTTCGAGGAGAGCATCGAAAGTCCAGGGTGGTTTGATGCTGACGACCTTCCTGAACTTTGTGCCTGAGAGGAGTCCTCTCTCGAGCAAATATCTCTTCATGTGATCGGTGCACGAGACTTGAATGGCCTCGCAGTTAAACTGATCGATGTACTCCCTGAGGGTTTCGTCGCTTCTTTGGACGATAGCCTCAAGGGCGGCCTCAGTCTTCGGGTGTCGATGAGACACTGTAAAGGAGCTGACGAACTAGCTCTTTAGGTTTCTCCAAGTGGTGATTGACCCTGGGGGAGATTCTTATACCAGTCCATTGTAGTTTTTCTTAAGATCGTGGGGAACAACCGACATTTGATCGATCCCCCGACATTATGATAGTGGAGCATTGCCTCGAACCCGTCGATATGGTCGACTGAATCTGCAATGCCGTCATATTCCTTCAGTTGGGGAGGCTTCTCCATTCCCCTAGGAGTGGGCGACTCCATGATCGCTTGTGATAAGGGACCGCGGGGGTCGTCTTCACCGCTCCTGTAAGGAGAGTGGGAAGGAGATCGGTTGTAGTGGTTTGGTTAATGGTCGCGAACAAAGCCTTTGTCGTGGAGTCAGCGCCCGCGGGGACGAGGACCTCTTGGAAAACGTTCAGCTCATAGTTCTGGGTCGGATGGGCACCCTCGCGTGGTCGAGAGCGGGATGATGAAGAGGCGGTCATGCCATCTCTATAATTTTGCATGAGATCAGCCATGTCAACGTCGTTCTCGTTGTTGTTGTTGTTGCCCATATTGTCGACGACATTGTTGTTGGGGTCGGCGAGATGGGCGTCTAGGTTGTTGTTGGCAGCTGAGTTGGCCATGACAATCACAAAGTTTGATGGTTGCTTTAGTCTTAGATAAATGAAAGACATGGAAGCTTGTTTTCCACAGACAGTGCCACTGATCGTACCTGACCATGATGGATCGTCAAAGCCTACGAGATGTGAGTTGAGCAGCAATTGGAAATGAGATGGGAGATACACACAAGACACTCTGATGTCAAAGTAAGGTTCGGAGCAGTGCGAACAAATATGAGAGTGAGTATGAAAGAATGGATACCTGACCCTCTCAAGTGAGAGGGTATTTATAGCCTCTAGCGTTAGACCAAGGTCCATATCGTTGGACTGGGAAAGTAGGCCCAAAATGGAGACTGACAGGTCCTACGTGCATAGTGAGGCCAACACGTGGTCCTTAACCTGGATGGACTCCCCCGAATAGTCAGGAGAATATGGATGCGGTCTTTTTGAGACCAAGAAGAATTTGTGATATTCGAAGGTGTTGTGAGTCAATCTTACGGGGAGGATGTTTACGATGTCCTTATGTCTGTTGTGGACCCTCTCTGCCAACTGTGAGATCGTCCGGGAGGGCTTGTCTTGGTCGACGAGAAGAGTGGAGGATGCTCGCGAGATCTTTCCGACCGACGACAAGTCTCCTCGCGATTCTTAAATTTATCCTTGTACGGCGAAACCACATTTTTTCGAAGGGTGAGGTTGCTGCCCGACATAGTTAAGAGCAAGCTCCTCAACAGACCTCCTCAAACAACATAATTGAATAAGGCCTTGTATGAAATTTTATATATATATATATATATATATATATATATATATATATATATATATATATATATATATATATATATATATATATATATATATATATATATATATATATATATATATATATATATATATATATATATATATAATTTCAACTTAATTTTAACCAAAATCAAGTTATCATGTGTTTAATTATGCCATGACAGAAATTAATTTCATAAAATTAATTATGATTAAAAGTGCATTGTAAATAAATTAATTTTTATTTGAATACATCCGTGTTAAAATAGATTAAAATAAATTATTTTATTTTTATATGAAGAATAAATTTATATGATTAAAAGTGCATTGAAAATAAATTAATTTTTATTTGAATACATCCGTGTTAAAATAGATAAAAATAAATTATTCTATTTTTATGTGAAGAATAAATTTATATGTAAAAATCACATCTAAATTTAAAAATTATACTCTCAATACATTAATTATAAAGATAAATGTTAAATCAAACATAAAACTATACTCTCGATATTATAAGTAAATTTAATTTTTTATTTATTATATTCAATTGTTAATGTATCAAGTCCATATATAATCCAAATGCATTAATTATTGAATAAATTATAAAAAGTAAAACTTACTTATATAATAAGTAGAAAGGATGTACATGTTAAGGTTATATTTTAACCAATTTAAATAACTTAATATCGATTTATTTTTAATAAAAAAAATAGCAGCAACCTAATTATATTTATTTTCTAATCAAACCTCTCATAATTTCTCAACAAAAAATAATAATATGAACCTAAGATGTACAACTGCATGTCCGAAATACGTAGAAAATAAACGGCAATCTTGTTCACACAAATTTGGAATAGAAATATCAAAAATTTAAACACTATTCACAATTGCACTTATCTTTATTTTTGAGAGACGAGAAGGCGAATCTAAGCAGTGCAAGTGCAAAGTACCATAAATAATCTGCATATTATGTCTCTTTCAAAATTTGCCAGTTTGACGCAGAAGATAAAATTAAATCCACAAGCAGTGAGTCAATCTTAAGCATTTAATTATATTGCTCTAACATATAAATAAATTAAATATTAATATATGAGTTAGATGCTATGCTAAGCTGTTAATTTGTCTTTTGGCAGTAAATATAGAAGCAGAGCACAGAACAGAAAACATCAGTCCTGGGATTCCGGACGTTAGACCAGAGATACCAAAGACCACTACTGTAAGCACAAATTCAGCTCTATCTTTGACCAAAGAAAAACTAACTTCAATTGCTTTCATTATTTAACCTCAACCATAATTTTAGTATTATTAACTCTTACTAACTGAACATATATACACATAAACAGATAGATTCCTTATACACACATACATACACACTCAAGGAAGAATCCCCTAAGTATGGAAGCTTCTACATCTTCAGAAAAGCAAGCACCAAAAAGTAGAGTTTTGAAGGAGAAGAGAGCTAAGTTTTACATTATTCGAAGATGCATTGTCATGCTTCTCTGTTGGAAGGATAAAGGAGACAAGTAATAACGGTAAAACATTCACTTTAAAGAACACACTGTATCTACTACTGTTCATATATAGATTCTTTCCATTATTCTAAGGGTAAATAAAAAGGGTTATTATAATATTGCAGCTTAAAGATGGTCACAGAAGCACTGCAAGATGTCAAAAGCAACATATATACAAGGCTTTTTCACCTACCCAGAGAATGTAATGCTGTTGATTCTTTTTTTTCTTTCAGTAAGTTTATATGTTTTGAATACAAAAGAATTACATCTGTAATAGGAGCTATAGAGAGTAAATCAGTGATGCTACCCACACACAAGCACAGACAAGGTAGAATAGAAATGAAAGATGAAAACTATATATATAACATGTTGCTTTATAGAGATACTCATTACCCATGTTTCTCATCCCATATAGCCAAAAGTAAAGGTACTACTCCACTTGACAAACTTTCCTAGCCTTAGACTTAGTGTACACTATCATCAACTTTTACAAGAATTAAAAGTGCAGAAAATGGTTGATTATCATTTTGATCCTGAAATAAAGTGTTACTGTGTTAGTTACTGTTAATATATGAGAAGTTGAAGAAAAAATAAAGGTAGGTGTATGTGCATGATATTGTAAATCATTAGATATTTTACACCAAAATATGATTATCATGGATCAACAAATCTTTGTTTTAATCGGTAATAGCACATTCTTGTTGGGCACAACAATCTTAGTACATTTTAATGATGTGTCAACTGTTTTTATTTCAAGTATGATGTGCCAGTTGTTGATGGGTTTAATTTTCCCTAGTCTCTCTCCTAATGCTAATAGCAAATCTCGAGGACTCAATAGAACTTTGAATCTGCTGCCCTAAAATTATGACTGAGAAAATGAAAATCAGAGTTTATAGGTCAATAACACTATAACAGTTGTTCCACCCCTTACAATTTAGTTACTCCTATCTTCCATCCAATAATACTATTGTAGCTAATTTTACAAGTGCCATAAAAAAGGGGGGCAAAAGTAGTTTTTGACACAATTTTTAAAAAATGTCAATATTCATATATTGTGGGTGTAAAAAAAAATCACAGTCAAACAATTACAATCAATAGAGTTCCATCAGCTTCAAGCCGTAAACTAAGCAAACATTTGAAATCCCAAAGAATTTAAACTAGGACTTGCAACCAGCTAATTAGGTAAGCATCAAGGCATTTTATATGTCAATGAACTGGAGGCGAGCAAGGGAAGGGTTATAATCATCCCAACCACATCCCCAAATTTTTGTTGAGCCATTCTTTAGACCCTAACTCGTTCTCAAAACCCAATTAAAATCAATGTTTTATGAGTCAAATTAAGAGTGGGTCTATTTAAGACGACATTGAATTGGGCCGAAGGACAACTGAAACATAATGATAAGGTGATCAAAGCTCAAAACATTACTATCACAATTGTACTTTCCAACAAGATTCCACCTAGAGTAACATAGATTTCACTTTTAATATTATGTTGATAAAATCTTATTACTAAAGTAAAAGAGCTACCAATTATGGGTAAGGGACGCGTTGGGATGAGGTATACTCAAACATTAACTTCACATTTAATATTATGTTGATAAAATCTTATTACTAAAGTAAAAGAGCTACCAATTATGGGTAAGTAAGAGACGCGTTGGGATGAGGTATACTCAAACATTAACTTCACATTTAATATTATGTTGATAAAATCTTATTACTAAAGTAAAAGGGCTATCAATTATGGGTAAGTAAGGACGGTATTTGAATGAGTTATACTAAAACATTAACTTCACATTTAATATCTTGTTGATAAAATCTTATTACTAAGGTAAAAGAGCTACCAATTATGGGTAAGTAAGAGACGCCTTGGGATAAGTTGTACTCAAACATTAACTTCACATTTAATATCTTGTTGAAAAAATCTTATTACTAATGTAAAAGAGCTACCAATTATGGGTAAATAAGGGACGCCTTGGGATGAGTTATACTCTAACATTAACCCTATCCTAACTTTTGGTCGTCTCAAATCTTTCGAGCTTAACCTGCCCCTAAGGCCAGTCCAATTCTTTAGACTCTAACCTATCCTTAAACCTAATCAAACCCAGTGCTTTGCAGGTTTAGTGAAACAATGACAGGTTAGCAATGGTGTAACTTTCATTCTTTCTTCATCACATCTTTTTGTACTCACCTAATAAATCAAAATATTTCACCGAATGTCCACGTCTTCACATCTTAATTCATTAAGATCTACAAAAAAATTCATCAAATTGCATCTCATTCCCTTAAAACAGATGCAATGCCCCAAAGCTTAATTGACCACATAAGTCCATACCGGTATCCTAATTAATAAACAACTCAACTATGAAGCACAGACACCCTGAACACGACACTTGCACTAATACGGTAATAATTTTAAAAAATGAATAAATTAAAAATAATTACAAGTGTCGGCATCAGTGCTTCCGAGCAAATCAGGTCCTAGGTGTGACAGGGAAACTCATGATCAAAGTTAGTATTTAGATTCACATCATTCATTGATTTCTACAACACTTTCCAACAATTCAAATGCAAAGCCTATTTAAAATCAAGCAATTGGAAAAAGAAAAAAAAACCTAAATCCAAGCTAAAACAAAATCGACGAATAATTCATGAATGAAACAAATTGAAATAGAAACAATATTCGGAAAAGCACAAAACGGAATCACATGTTCATAATTCACATCGCAGTTCCACAAACATGTTAACAAATTCGAAACCAAAATCTCATACTTCTACATGAAACAATAAAAAGCAGTAAAAAGAAAGAAAAAAAGTCTATACAGCGAACCGGCGTATCGATGATTCAAACAGGGAGGTTGGCGACGTCGTTTGTGTTCTGAACGGAGGTATTAGGATTATTGACGGCGGTGGTAGCGGTTGTGCTGACGGAGTAATCATCGTCGTCGTCTTCGTCGTTGTAAGGGTCAGAAGTAGCGACGTTGACGCAGGAAAAGCGTTCCAAGGAAGAGAAGAAAGCGGAGGAGACGGTGGACCCCAGCCAGGTAGCCATCTGATCGATCTTCTCTCTGGATATAAGATTGCCGTTGTTCTCCATCGTCGCCGCCCGATCAGATCCGAATTTTTGCTCTGAGATTTTGTAACAACCGAAACCGTTTTCTTTGTTTTTTTTCTTGAGATTTACGAGAGGAATAATCAACTTGCGAAATTACCAATTGCCCTTATAACTAATTATTAGTAATTGCACGTAACCGCTAATGTAATTTCAAATCATTGCGTCATTGGTACGTTGCCGGGGTGCATAGATGGAATTCAAAACATGAGTTTTTGTTATCAAAAAATAAAAATAAAAAACATGAGTTTTGAAATTTAGGTTCGTTGGTAGACGTTATAAGATCTATTCCTTTTGATCCTTCTTCATATTTTTTATTTCAAAAATAATAATTAAACATGATTTAAATGTTACACTTTTGATCGGATAAGATCTAGAGGACCCGTTTGTATTACAGAGCACATACAAAGATACCGGTCGCCCTATGGCGAAAGAAAATTTTATTCATTTATGTGCGATATAGTGTGCAATAAATTTTGGCAATTTTTATGTATTTTTTAAATTATTTTTGAAAATTAGAAATATATTTCTGACGCATATATTTTTCTTTTCAATGTTGTATAAAAACTGAAAATATATTTTCAAAGAGAATCGAAAATATATTTTTGATTTCGATGCTGACAATACCAAAAAGTTTTATGATGACTTCTTTACAAACACATTCATATATAGGCACTTTAAAATTGACATCTTATCACCAAATTAATGCATATTTTTTCATTGTTTTTTCATAGTCATATGGAACAAAGACGTATATAACAAAACATACTACAACTATATATAGAAAAAAGAGATATATAAATAGATATCAATACATAGTACAAGAGGTGTTTGTAGTCAATATAGGGGATAATTCAAAATATTATTCAAATAAAATTAAAAAATAATAACCAAAATACATATACAACAAAAAAGACTATTGGGTATGGAGGACTATGAGTCGGCCCCTCCCCATCCCAGCGTTCATCCGCTACCTCCTGTATTGCAGAGCCCCCCGAGCCTCCACCATGATGGCATCTAGAACACCTCTAACATCAGAGACATCAGGAAACAAACCATCATCAATATTTGCCTGCATAATCTCCATGATACGACGACACCTAGGCAACACATCAGTGACATGATCGACATGTGCTTGCTCCTCCTCTAGAGTCTCTTGATGAGCTGACCTCAGAGGGTTTCTTGGAGTATCATATACCGGGTATGGATGTGAGACCTTGAAGAACCATATAATATAATTGTCCACGTAGCTCCAATCATCTAGAGCAATGGTACTTTGGGTCTCATCTGGAACAAGATGTTCTCATAATCATCAAACAAAGCATTCATATCCTTGCGTTTCACCAGAAAAGAAACAGATATAGCAGGATCCTGGGGAATGGTCTGGGTGTACCCTAACTAGCGCATGACGCACTCAGGCATATAAATTACAGTCTTGCGCGACCCGCAAGCCAACCATCCCGTAAACAACACAACATCATCAAATGGTATCGTGACAAGGTGGTCATGGTATGAATGAAAGTGTATGTCTTTAAACACCACTCGGTCAATATACACCTGGTAAGGCTCCGTCGCTTGGTTCCCTCCGAGGGGGTTGTATGCAATGGCACGTGGCTTAACTTCAATATAATCACTAGCTAATGACCAACCTGATATGCAAGGGAAGTGCGTCAGGATCCAATCCTGAAATAACAATAATTATGACTTAGTAGCGTAATCTAAATAATTAACAAAATGTCACGAAGACCAAGAAATTTTATTGTCAAGAGTGTGATGTATCCGGTCATCTGCTCCGTTTTCTACTTACTTCCGTCAGACAGCTTCGTATACAAGTACACCAAACAAGTAGTCCCCTAGTTCCACTGGTGGATCTGCTCAAAATCATCAAAATACCCTAGGTACATCACATCTATGTAAGTGACACTAGTGTCCATAAAAATCTGTGTGCCAACCAGAAACAAAAAGTATTCTCTCATAGCAAACCCCTTGTGTAGGGTAAACTACTCAGGATCACCATTAGCCTCTCGTGCACACCTTACCTTAGTTGTGAACACCCTTTTCAAATAACTATATATGACATGGGCGCCACGGGTAAAATCCAGCTCATCCATGGCACTCTCATGGGTCACTCCCAATTTTTGTACCAACGCCTCCTCTTTGTCAATCCTTTCATGGTCCAAGAATGTACCTCTAATCGATAGATGCAGCAGCGATGCGACGTCGTCCAGTGTGATCGTTATCTCACCATGTGGTAGATGGAATGACGACGTCTCATGATGCCACCTCTCAACAAAAGCATTAATCATACCATGATTAACGATGCTATAACCACACTCAATCAAATCTTTCAACCCTGTAAGCATTAATAGCTCACCAAACCATGGCTCCACATGGGGTACTAGTTTACTGATCATCCACCCATGGTTAATAACCTTCAGCAGATCATGTTCCTGCATTCATGATTGACAAAATTCATTCAACAAAAATACATAATGAAAATGTAATAGAAGGAAAAAGTCAAAATGCATACCTCTTTGTCTCATATATATCTAGCAACATGGTCCGGGTACAGAGACAACAAAGATAAATCAGACGGTCCTCCTCAAAAACCCTAAGGCGTCACAAGTGCCGCCTGAGGTGTCAGCTCAGGTGCCTGAGATGTCTGGGGTGGCGCCTGAGGTGATGGCTCGGGTGCCTGAGATGTCTAAGATGTCGCCTGAGGTGATGGCTCAGGTACTTGAGATGTATGGGGTGCCTCCTGAGGTGTCGATTGAGGTGCCTCAGGTGCTTGGGATGAGGAATGTGGCTAAGCCTGAGGTGTCTTCTGTGTGACCTTTGGTGTCGGCTGGGAACCATATGTCTCTCCCACCTCAAATACCATTGGTAAGGAAGTGCGTCTACGGGAGGACGAAGGCGGGGAGGGATGAACTGGAGAATCCCGCCTACTGTGGGAGGAAGATGTAGCCGGAGTAGAAACATGAAATCGAAGGCAGAGGTTGTAATATGCACATCTGGCATAGTCTGTCTAGAGGCAGAATGAGCCTAAGATACTTGACTCCTTTCTCTCGGCACAGAAGCATGTTGTGCAAGTCGGTTGTGTCTTAATCTAGATGGTCTCTCAGCCATTACTCCTGTAGAAGTACGAAAAATACGTTAACATAAGGACCTTAAACCCTAAAATATGGGGAAAATAGAAATAAACTAAAATCGGAAATGCATTTCTGCTTTTGTTCAATGTTAAATTGAAAACTGGAAATACATTTTCGATTCTACCTGCAATTGTAGAGGTCCGTCAATCGCGAACATACCCCCCCAAATGACCTCAAAAAAAGCTCATTGATCATGAAAATGACATTACCAACACGTTTCTAGTGATTCCTAATATTGAAAACAAACAACAAAATCCCAATTTCTAACCTAAAACACTAATTTTAGTAGAAATTACATAAACTCAAAAAACTAAAAAACAACTTACAATTGTTGATTTTCGTTGATTGAATGTGGTTGGACACTTGAGTTAAGTAATGCTTGACAATTTGTGACGAGTTTTTTGTGAATTTGGTTTGATATTGAAACAAAGATATTTGAGAGAAATGGGTATTTGAGTGTTTAGTTTTTGTTGTTTTGAAAAATAATTCCCAAATTATAAGCAATATATAAACCGGAAATGCACTTACGGTATAAACCGGAAATATATTTCCGATTTAAACCCAATTTTTATGACTAGTTTGGTATGTACCGGAAATATATTTCCGATTTTAAGGGGAATTTAGGAAATTTTGCATGGTGCGCTAGAAAACCATAGGGTGGAAAAAGAAATTCTCTAATTTTTTTGTTACATGTTTTAGTGAGTTATTTGGAGATGTATCTCCGAACAATTGAAACGAGAATTTGATAATTTGTCACCTATGCATGTCAAATTATTTCGGAGATGTAACTCCAGAAAAATAAAATGTGTAATTGCTAAAAAAAACATCCACCGGCATGAGCAAACTTCATATCCATTTTTTCCATAAACCCTCTCCAAAAACCCTTTCATTCTCAATCAAGATTTTCACTCAAAAACTCCATTCTTGTGTTTCATCAAATCACAAGGAGAAAAAATAACTTGAAATTCAAGGTAAAGTTCATTCATTTCAAACCTCATTGATCACATTAATGTTGTTTTTAAGCTGAAAAAATTTACGTTTTATTCAAAAATGTGTTTTCGAATTCTCTATGAACTCATCAGGAGATGCATTTCCAGATGCTGTCTATTCTCATTTTCCAGCTATTTGTTTTCAGTTTTTGAGTATTTTATGTTTTGTTTTCATTAGATATGGTGCATCATGATGTTTTTCCCAAACCTATTATGTCTTTAGATGCCTCATGTGTAGTTGCGAATGAGGTAGATATTGGTAACCAATTTAAAAATGTACAAGAGTTTGGATTTCGTAATCATATACTTCAATAGATTCGTACAGAGGCATCCAAACTAGGGTTTGATGTTGTAATCAAAATGTTCGATTATGGTTCAAAATAGAAGAGGTGCATTTGTGAAATTGACATGTGAAAGAAGTGGGAAATATATACCTCCTCTCCGAAATTTCAAACGAGATGAAACTAGCTCAAGAAAATGTGAGTGCTCTTTTAAGTAGTGTGGTTATCAGTTGGAAAATAAAAAAATGCATATTTTATGTGATATATGGTTTAAATAACCATGATTTGTGTGTAAAGTTATTCAGTCATTCAGTTGCATGTTGCCTCATACCGGAAGAGAAGGAATGTGTTTCAGATATGACATTGAATTTGGTGCCAAAAGTAATTGTTATCGACCGTAATACCGCTTTAATGAATTTGGTTGCAAAGGTATTTTCTAATTCTTATGCGTTACTTTGTAGGTATCACATAACAAAGAATTTAACAAGCCGGGTTAAACCTGCGGTAGAGACAAAATAGATAGAGGGTGAAGATGGAAAACTGGTCAAGGCGGGTGTCATAGTGGA